CCTTTGTTACTTTGGTCCCAGCTCTCTGCAGGTCATTCACTAGGTCCCCCTGTGTGGTTCTGGGATTTTTGTTCACCGTTCATTTTGATCCCACGGGCTGAGATCTTGCTTGGAGCCCCAGATCCAGAGAGAATATCAGTGGTCTTGTATGTCTTCCATTTTTTTAATAATTGCTCCCACAGTTGACTTCTTCACACCAAGCTGCTTACCTATAGCAGATTCAGTCTTCCCAGTGTGGTGCAGGTCTAAAATTTGTTTCTGATATCATTTGACACCTCTTTGGTCTAAGCCATAGTGGAGTTTGGAGTGCGACTGTTTGAGGTTGTGTACAGGTGTCTTTTACACTGATAATGAGTTCAAACAGGTGGCGTTAATACAGGTAACGAGTGGAGGGCAGAGGAGAAGTTACAGGTCCGTGAGAGCTTGTTTGTAGGTGACCAAATAATTATTTTCCACCATAATTTGCTAATAAATTATTTAAAAATCAAACTATGTGATTTTCTGGATTTTTTTCTTATTTTGTCTCTCATAGTTCATACATATGATGAAAATTATAGGCCTCTCTTATCTTTTTAAGTAGGAGAACTTGCAAAATTGGTGGCTGACTAAATACTTGTTTTGCCCCACTGTATATGGTTTCATACTTTCTTTATGTAACAGCTTCATTTTTTGTACTATTCTAATCTGTGAGGAGTAAATTCAGTACAAGAAAGCATTAATCAAAAAACAGAAGATAAGCCATTTATTAGGCTGGAATAAGTCCAAACATAGATGCAAACGGTCCAAGGAGCAGAACAACAAAAAAATCCAAATGGCAAGAGAACATACAGGGAGGGTTAGTGTCTCCCTACCTTTTGTTTGTAAGTTTCACCAGCCTTATTAAACATTTGCTTTTTGTTAAAAGCAAGTTTTTGTTTCCACATGTCTACTTCACACCTCAACCGCCACATAGTCTGCAGTCTGTGATAGCTTTAAATCAACCATGAACACCAATGTGACGCCTGCAGTGTCCCAGAGTGTGTTTTGCTCAGTGTCCACAAATACTGTCATACTGTTTGTGAGAAGAAGTTCCTGAAGCAGCAAAAGACCCACACGGCTGACACTGTTACTGGCAACAAAATGTAAAACAGCACGGGGATCAGGGAACAAACAAATGAGTGAGATCAGTGAGATAAGCCAGGCGCCAGGAGAAGTTCAACTGATGATCAGATAAGTTCACTCAGAAAACGTGACTCCACTTCCTCATATCCTCAACACATTTTAGTACATCACAGTGCATTAACATCCAGGGAACAGAAATGAGAACATTTCAACAAATTATACATACAGAGTCCCAAGTAGAAAGCACTAGCTATAACAAGTTAAATATCACCAAATTCCTGCATTATGTCCTGTTCGGTATTTCTGTTTTGAGCTATTTGTGTGATGTGAAATAATTTGACTGTAAAAGTGAAAGCCTAACAAACACAGGCCCAGCTTCCCCTCCTGTTTTGAAAGTCAAATGAGTTTCCAGCACAAGTTCTCCAAATCAAAGAGGATAAAACAAAGAGAACATTCTTTAGTTTAAACTCACGATAAGCTGCATGCTCACAACTGTACTGTCTGGAATTGAGCTTAAAGAAGAATTAATGCATCTCTGAAATATCTGTTCTACCTCTGACTGTTTTAAGATGTTGTTAATATTTAATTTAAAGCAAAATGTCATCCATGTTCTCTTCAAAGGAAAGAAACCTAAGCACACCTCAGAGGTTATCTACCATTTGTCCATAAAGAGTTATTAAAAGCTACGTGTATGATTTAAAAGCCTGTGAATGTAAGATCGAAAGTTAAGCAGACAGAAACAGAAGCTCCTCCTCCCAGTCATGTATTTCAGGTAGAACCAGTCCTCCACCCTGACAACAACAGAGAGGACATTCACTAACATTAAACCTGACTGTCCTTTTCAGGACACTACATGAAAAATTTATGTTCTTTAATCAATATTTAATAAATCTGGAATTTATAGGAAAGTGTCATCTGTGCTCCAGCTTCATCAGGAAGGAAGACACTAAAGTGAGTAATACTTGTGTAAGTGTTACATATTATTAATAATAGACAACTGTGTTAGTGTTTGATTACTGATTTTTCATCTAATCCATTGGCCATGATCATAGCTGGACTGGCCATCGGGCATACTGGGCATTTGCCCGGTCGGCCCATGGTAATTTTTCGTTTTAAATGGGCCGATGTTTTGTTGTTTTTGTCATTTTTTTCCCGTAACTGTGTAAACAGTGAAAGGTGGCGGATTGGACAGATGCTGGCAGACGTGTAAAAATAACTCAATTGTTTGGTAGTGGCTATGGTGGAGCTTTCACA